GTTTCTCTCTTACTGGGTATTTTATAGATATAGCTCAATTGCAAAAAAAAAAAGAAAAAAAAAACTTTCTGATTGAATTTCCAATGTACAGTTTTTTGAATAGAAAATTTCATAATTTTATTTCAAATGTGGTTGTTTGTCTCATCTGTCTCAGTGATGGACTTGAGACCTGAATGGATGGATGGATGGATGGATGGATGGATGGATGGATGGATGGATGGATGGATGGAAGGATTTTGAACAAATTAAATTTAAAAGGGACAAAACACGACAAGACATTTAATGATTGTTGTTTATTTTCCCATCAACTCCTTCAGCTTATTAAGGAAAGGTATAGTTGCATCACTTAGGGAAGATTTAAGAAAATTGYTGCTAAAATTCAGCTGAGTCAGTAATAAAACCAGCATGATCGATTGTTTCTWTAACACATTTAAAACAACTAAGGCCAATCAAAGTGCTTTACATTTAAACCAGAACAAAACAACAAACTAAAATAAGAAATCTTTTTTAAAATACAATAAACATAAAGGTAAATGTACAGAAATTTACATAAGCTCTAATTTCCCTCTGGGATCAATAAAGTATTTTTGAATTTGAACTGAATTTGAATTGAGTTGAATATTATACTTTATTTGAATCAAAATCCCAAAAATGTTATTTGGAGAAAGGATGCCCTTCCAGCTGTCGCAGTCGTTGTGTCCTTGGACAAGACACCTCATCCATCTTGCCTGCTGATGGTGGTCAGCGGGTCCGGTGGCACCGGTGCCTGGCAGCCCCTGCCCCAGGGCAGCTGTGGCCATGTAGCTTACCACCATCAGTGTGTGAATGGGTGAATGACTGTGTAAAGCGCTTTGGGGTCCCCATGGGGCTTGATAAAGYGCTTTATAACTTCAGTCCATTTACCAAAATGTCCAGCTTATGTTGCAAATATAAATAAAGTTAAGCTATTCAACATGTTTGAGACAGCTGCAGCAAAACTTTGATCAACAAAAAGCACATTTTACTTCAAACGATGTGTTCTTACTACAAAGTTTCATGGAGGCTTTATTATCTGAAATAAATAAGTTTTAATTCATTTTAATGTGCTGTAATAAAAGACAAAGATGTTTTTGCAAACATGCTGCTCATATTTGTATTTATTTGCACAAAACTATATTATTCCCACTCACTGAAGCTAATCAGTTGTAGCTTCAAAATCGGTTGCTGGAAATAAWAACTACAGTTTCACAATACAAAACAGACGATATTGTGCGCCAAAGGGGAATGATTATTGTGAACATTTAAACACTTTTACTACCGCTTATAAAGATTGCTTCAGGACTTTAACACAAGGGGTGAGCGATACTGGGAATTTGGAATATCGAATCGATACCAAGTAAATACAAGACTATTACTGCCAATTCTGATACCAATACTTGTCATGTTATTGAATAATTATGTAATTTTGCCTTTTATTAATCAATTATGATGAAACACAGGACAAAGATTTTAGGCAAATAAAATGTTTTATCAATTAACTATAACAAAAGAAAATGGTGTAAAAATTAATCAAATAATTCTCCTTTTACCTTCTACTACACATAATTGTTTAAAAAAGTCACTGGTGCGAAATAGCAAAAAAGAAGCAACAGTGTAACAAAAATATAAATGACTGCACAACAAAAAATAAATTGCATTGCCTGAGGGCACAATGTAAGTAAGTAAGTGAGGAAAGTTTTATTTATAAAGCTCCTTTCACAGAAATATATTCACAAGGTGCTGTACAATTATTAACAATGTWAAAATGGTGGAAAGATAAAATGAAACAGAATGAAACATAATAAAACATAAGCAACATAATGAAATGTCAAATCAAGATTAAATTCTGTAATTGTAACAGAAACATGGGCAATGCAGAGCAAAATATACAATAATACAAAACACATGGAGAATGGGGGAAAGAAAAATATGTAGAGAGGACCAATAACTCCAAACAATTTGAAAACTCTGCAGTTCTCCCTTTTTTTCACTTTAATTGTGAAAAATAAAGTTAGTGGCACAAATAAAGTGTCAATAAAATACTATACAGATACCAGTACTCATCTTGGTATCGAAATCTGCACTTAATTCAACACGACCACCTCTATTTTGCAGCATCCTAACAATGTGATCATACCTTCTTATTTCTTTTGCTTTTATCTGCATTTTTAAAAATGAGGGAGCACGAGGAGGAGCCGCAAACTGCTTAGATCTTAATAATGATCTGTCTATGACAAAAAGAAAGATTAACACAAAAATAACTATTTCCATGGAAGGAACTGACATTCCCTTTTCACAGTACATTCATTTAGACAAAGTCCCTTAATTTATCATGTTAAGTTTTGACAAGAGTCCTAAACTACAAAGATTTGTACCTCAGACTGCAGTCTTGGGTCAACATTCCAAATACTTTAGTATCTTAYAAAGGAGACATAAAATAATGGGTGCCATGTCAAAAGCATTGGAGTTTCAAGTGACTAAATTTAGAAAAGTCAAGTCAGATTTCCTGACTCTGGGAGTCTCCGGCACAGAAACTGAGGGAAACGCCCCCAGAGGGACATGTTTATGGTCCAGYGGGTCTGGCGTTTATTGTTTGGGACACAATACTTGGTCTGTCTGGAGCCAACCCTCCACATCAAACAGCAGGGTTGAGTTTGCCCGTGGATGGCGAGAGGCCAGTCTGCTGACATTATCAGGACACACATGCCACAGCCAGGCAGCGTGCAGGCTGCAGGCGGCTGCTCAGATTCCGGTCTGTGGTCCCTCCGAGCTCAGGGTTTCTGCAGTTAACAGAACTGAAACGTTTAATCATACACACACTTGCATGCACACAMTGTTAACACAAAGCTTTCACAGACCACCATCAGAACATCTCACATGTCCTGAAGCATGGTTAAAATACAACAGCGTCATTCAAACAGCCTTAAAATCTGATCACACACACACACTCACACACACACACACACACACACACTTGTTTTTATATCCTTGTGG